TTCCGTTCCCCTTTCATGGGCTTTTCTCTCCTCCCTCATTCTCATCTGAATTAACTCTAAAAGACAGTTCTGCATATTTTGTCAAAGCAAAAATATTCAATATTAGCAGCGTTGAAAGTCGTGACATAAGCAGTTTGGCCTCTTTCGTTCTCTGCAACGTCCAATACCTTCTACTTTTCTGGATTGTCTTGGAAGAAATGAGCATGTCTGCCCAGGTCTGCTGCTGATATTATAAACAAAAAACAACAACCCAAAGACAAAACCCAGAGCACCACCACGCACGTGCAGGGAAACATCATGCTTGAGTTTCTCTAACAAGCCAGTATTGATTTCTTTGCCAGGGTGACAGTTCTCCCTTCCTTGAGGAGATAATGCAGTGGCTCCATGCAATCTTTCCTATTGTCAATTTGATTAATCTGTTATCTGTGTACTTAACAAATCCTCTTAGGAAAGGTGCTCAGATGGACGCTATTGAGGCCTTCTATTTTTACACCCTGGCAAGAGATGAATAATATGACTCTGAAGGCTTCTCCAGGGGGGTCAATTCAGCCTTGATGGGGGTCTCTTTATTTCTGACTTTCCCTTTCATTGCTTCTTTCCCCCCCCCCAGTTAAAGTTGTTAACCACTTTCCGTTTACAACCTTGATATTCGCTTGTTTTTCTTTTGAAATTCTGGTGTATGGCGTGTAATTGGTTATAAATAATAGACATGTATAAATAATACAGTTGCTCCAATGGGCAAGAGGCAATTTTCTGTTCCTCATTGTGTTGGTAGTAGCTGAGAGATGCTTAAAGCCGGGGTAGAGAGAGACCAAATTAAAACTGCATTAACCACAGAGCAAGTGTGTTCCCATTTCCAAACTCTGTCAGTTCTTAATTTTGGAGGAGCAGAGAGAAAAATCAGCAAAACAGGGACTTACTAGAAAATGATGATTGGCAAATAATATACTCCAGTGTAAATAAAGATGGTGTTTTAATTAAGAATCCCCAATACCTGACTTTTCTGCTCAGGTTTCAAATATTCCGTTGGCTTTTCATCCGTTTCTCTTTCCTGACTTAGCTTAACAATATATCAAGAAAAAAGGGGGGGGAAACCCACATATGGCCTTTTTAAAATTCAATTAGTCTAGCCTTAACTGAATAATAACTTTCATTTTTATTAATAAGAATGCAGCCTGCTATCCCTGGAGATCAGATACTTGGGTAGACACAGGCAGAGAAACTGTAGAGTTCGGACAATTCCACCTTGGTGGTGCATTTATGTGTCTGAAATAGATGAAATATTACCGTTGGGACAATTTATCATTCTGCAGCCATGAATTTGCTTCCACTCATGTTTTCTCTGAACTTATTTTTAATGTGTTAATTTTTCTTTCCTTCCAGTCTCCCAAGGGGAGTATGGTTTGGGAGAGATGGAACCTGTTGGGGTTGGTAATTCCAGATCCTTCTCTACCATTATGAGTAATTTTCTTGTAGCTCCACAATACACAATGCCCCCAATCACAACTCACTAATCCATGATGTATTGTCTGGTTCTGCCTTACCTTGAAAGACAGACCCAATTCCTGTGCCCTATAAACTATGGCTAATGGTTTGGTAGGGCACTTGAACAGCCAGTCCATCTTTATTCAACAAATTATGATTAATGGTCCATGACTTGGTGGATGGCTGAGCAAATGTTTTACCGATCGAGAATGTCAGACCTGCCTCAGCTTGAACTTCAAAGTAAGAACGATCCTTAACTCTGTTTATTGAAAAAGGTAGTGTTTACTAGAAGTCAAGTGGATTACAGTAAATGCATAGCCAGAACTGAAAAATCATGCGCCAAAATCCCCAGGCTCCAAGATCACCACACATGGGGACTGCAGCCAAGAAATTAAAAGACGCTTGCTCCTGGGGAGGAAAGCTATGGCAAATCTAGACAGCATACTAAAAAGCAGAGACATCACTCTGCCAACAAAAGTACATATAGTCAAGGCCATGGTTTTCCCAGTTGCAATGTATGGCTGTGAAAGTTGGACCATACGAAAGGCTGAGCGCCAAAGAACTGAGGCCTTTGAACTCTGGTGCTGAGAAGACTCCTGCGAGTCCCTTGGACTGCAAGGCGATCAAACCGGTCAGACCTAGAGGAGATCAACCCTGACTGCTCTTTAGAAGGCCAGATCCTGAAGTTGAAACTCAAGTACTTTGGCCACCTAATGAGAAGGAAGGACTCACTGGAGAAGAGCCTAATGCTGAGAAAGATGGAGGGCAAGAGAAGAAGGGGACGACAGAGAATGAGGTGGCTGGATGGAGTCACTGAAGCAGTAGGCATGAGCTTCAATGGACTCCAGAAGATGGTAGAGGACAGGAAGGCCTGGAGGAACGTTGTCCATGGGGTCGCGATGGGTCGGACACGACTTCACAACTAACAACAACAAAAAAAACTTTTCCCTCCATTATTTGCCTCCCATCACTAGTTCCCGATGTCCAATCTAATTCAAACAAGATGCTTTTAGAACGGGTATAGGTTTGATATGCAGCTGCATTCCATTCCCAGCCATTTGTCCTTGAAGCCCATCTTGGAAAGAGACAGGGAAGTTTTGTTTTCCTCAAAGTATACCCCCTCCAATCCACCCCCCTCCCATGTTCATGGCCAACTGATATGACTGGTTGCAAAGTTCAAGGTTGAGGTGTCCACTGACAGTGAGCTACATTTAACATGGAAAGGGTGGAATTAAAGGTAACCCTCACAACATCCATATGAACAAAACCACAGAAGATGGATTTCTTTCATTTTATACTCTGAGATGCCTGTTAATTACTATGTTCATGAGAGCAACACCTCATAATTGGCAAGAAAATTTGCTTTTGGTTTTCAGCTGATCGTGGTATGAGGGCTAGAAAAAGGAGTTGTGCACGGGGTCCATTTCTAGACTAGCACATTGCCTGGACCCAAAACATGGTTTACCAAAACATTGTTAAAATAAATCATGACTCAAGGTGAATTGGAAACACGAGTGGAATTGAAGTCAAAATCTTTATCTTCAACTTGAGGTCCTAGAGTTGGCTCATCCTCCACACCTCCAGCAAAGAATGACAGTCAGAGCATCTTCAGGTCATCTTTTTAATCAAGATGGAATCACCAACCTAGAGCTAAGGAGAAATTTCCTGACAGTGAGAACAATTAATCAGCAGAATGGCTTTGCCTTCAGAAGTTGTAGGTGCTCTATCACTGAAGGTTTTCAAGAAAAGATTAGACAACCATTTGTGTGGGGTGGTATAAGGTCTCCTGCATGAACAGGGAGTTGGACTAGAAGATCTCCAAAGTCCCTTCCTACTTTGTTATTCTATTAATCTGGTTGACGTCTTGCTGCTTTTTTACATGTTTGCAAGGCAGGACTTCAATGGATTCCTCCTCAGGCATGACACTTCCTAGGGCTGATTTTATTCCTCTTAAAAAAAAATCCCATGATAATCTGGATTCCATATGGCTAACAGTCATGGAGGAGGAAAAAGAGTATTACACGAATCAGGAAGTCCTTGAGGGAATCACAAAATAAGAATCCCTGCATATTCCTCAGAGTAACATGAAATAACAATGCCCCTCATGTGTTTAGAATGGAAGAATTATTACAAATGCTAGTAATTACTAGAAACAAATATGTAGCTTGTTGTTGCTGGCATTACAGTTTCATTTTGGGAGCAGATGCTATGGAAAACACAGATGGTGGAAGAGAAAAATGAACATGGAGAAATCACATTTTCACCTGCCTGTGAGATAGCTAGGTCAACTTTGGAAAGGAACAAGAAGTTATTACCACCTGTCAATCTAAACAGAGGATGGGGCTGGTCTTGATTCTGCTGTCAACAGATAAATGCTTAACTCAAGAAAGTCTTAAGGCAATACTCTGGGGAAAGCTCTGTTAAAAATAAAGCTAACAGTGAAACCAACCTGGTATCAGTTACATGCAGTCCCCAGCTTATAACTATAACTGGGACCAGAATTTCCATTGCTAAGCAAGATGGTTAATGAGTAAGTCTAGTATTTGAGGGACTGAACAAAGAAGAGGGGGTCACGTTATTCTCCAAAGCACCAGAGGGAAGGTCAAGAAACAATGGTTGGAAACTGACCAAAGAGAAAGGCAACCTGGAATTAAGGAGAAACTTCCTAACAGTGAGGACAATTAACCAGTGGAACAGCTTGCCCCCAGAAATCGTGGGCGCTCCATCACTGGAGGTTTTTAAGACGAGACCTAGACAGTCACTTGTCTGAAATGGTATAGGTTCTCCTGCTTGAGCAGGGGGCTGGACTAGAAGATCTCCAAGGTTCCTTCCTATTCTATTCTATTCTATTCTATTCTATTCTATTCTATTCTATTCTATTCCATTCATCTATTCTATTCTATTCTATTCTATTCTATTCTATTCTATTCTATTCTATTCCATTCCATTCCATTCCATTCCATTCCATTCCATTCATCTATTCTATATACATAGGTAAGCATAGAGAACATAATTCAAGAGATAGGATCTTATTTTCCATATCTGCCATGTTATAAAGTTCGAAAAGGCTCCTATGTACAACCTGATTGTAAGTCCAGCTTTATACAAAATAAAGCCAGTTTAATCCTGACAGGCTACTTTGAAGTCAGCTACAGAAAATGGTCATTTGTTTAAATTCATGACTTAAGTCCTGGGAAATAAGATTTACAAACATGCATCAGAATACTTGGTCCATCAATTCTGATTCACAAGATGGTTATTTTCCACTTTTGTGATTGATTGATTGATTGATTGATTGATTGATATGGACATTGGTCATCAAAGAAACAATGCTCTGGCATTGCTAATAGGGTCCCCAATGGATTTTTTTGTGTGTGAGTGTCTTGTTTTCCCTCTCTGTTATGAAGCATTAATGCATCTATTGCTTTGATTCCTGAGCGCCTTAATCATATCCTACAGGGAAATGTGATATACATAAATGGAGCATTTGTGAATACCTGTTGCTTTTCCTGCAGGTAGCCCTCCAGCTACAGGTACAGGAACTTTGCAGATTATCTTGGAGGATGTGAACGATAATGCCCCTTCTCTCTACCCAACGGTAGCCAGTGTTTGTGAAGATGCAAAGGACGTAAAAGTTGTCTTTGGTGCCTTAGATAAGGACATTCATCCCAAACAAGAGCCCTTCAAATTTGAGCTGAGCAAGCAATCGGGTCAAGATAAAGTATGGAAGCTTACCAGAATTAACAGTAAGTCCATTAGAAACAGCCAAACTTTCAGCATTGTGTTGTCATTCTCTTACAGTTGTCCTTCTCCCTGCATGTATAAATCAGGCTGGGTCCTGTCTGTGTGAGCACCACATTTAAGGATGTCTACACCACATCCACAAAACAAGATGGTTGCCAGGATGTTGCAAATGAAGTTCCACCTGTGAGTGAAACACCTAAGAAGCAGATGGAGCTTCAATCAGATCCTGATGGCCATCATTTTGACCATACTCTACACATACCCCTGACCAAATAAATTCGGTTGTTAGCCTGGTCCACCTAAATTCTACCTCATTCTATTTATTTTTAAAAAACAAGAACATATCCATTTGTTTTCCTATTCAATGTCCATTACCTGACAATTTCATTTATAAGCGAATTTGTCTAATGCAGTGTTACCTAACCTTAGCAACTTGAAGATGTGTGGACTTCAACTCCCAAAATTCCGCAGCCAACCAGATCACCAGAGGAATTCTGGGAGCTGAAGTCCACCCATCTTCAAGTTGCTGAGGTTAAGAAACACTGTTTAATTCATGATTTCTTAGCCCCAATTTTTCAAATCGATGAACTGTTGTTCTCAATATAATCTGTTTTGCGTACTTCTTCTCAAGGAGAGTCCATGACCTGCTTCGTTCAAGGTCACCGCTTTTCTGTAAAATTGAGAAATTCAGAAATAAAGATTGGAAGACCCTAGCCCTTAACTATCTCTCCCATTTGCCCAAGTCATCAAAATAATTCATCGCTGCCAAAAGATGCTGAGGTCTCCAACAGTTCTGAAAGGTCTCTGCAGTGCAGTGGTCCATATACTGTGTTGTTTCTTCTACAGAAAATTAGGGTTGTGGGAGACCAAACTGCACAATGCATTGCAGTAGTTCCAAACACTGGGGCATACCTGCTGGTTCTTCATCATAAACAAAATTGCAGCTACAGATATTGTGGTACCCATTCTTGCCAACTGGATCCTATCCTCAAAACTCATTTTGCTACTAGCTCAGTTACCTAAAAATGAAGTTTTAAGGAGGGAAACCCACAAGCAACATAACCTTTGTTGCATGCAGTGCCGAAAGCATGTTGTAACGAGAAAGGGCGATAACTACGGCTCTGATTTTCACAAAAGTTTAGCTCTCTGTAAGGTCTGAAACTTGTGAATGATTTGCACAGTGGTGGAAGATCAGTATATTCTCCATATGCATTTTACTAGTGTTGTGCAAAGTTCTCAGAAGTCCAAATGTATACAAAAAGACAGATGGAGAAGAGGGCTCCCTGCGGATGCTTTCATGGCTGCATTAAGCACTCGGAGTATTTCATGGGTCCAATCTACTTATAAATCCTAAACTAACATTTTATGATAAGGCAATATTATTAGCCTCCTATTGCAAATAAAAGAGGAGTTAGCACTAAGGGGTGTGCTAAAAATGTTCTTGGCTGGGATAACGTTTGACTTCTTGTAGCTGATATTTTTTTACCGTTCCACAGCAGGGTTTTTGTTTTGTTTTGTTTTTCAAATTTGACAGCAGGCTAGCTGGGAATTCTGGAAGTTGTAGTCCACCCTTCTTAAAGTTGCCAAGTTTGAAAAACCCTGTGCTGCGGTGTCTTCTGCAATATTAAAACCATCGCCCTAAATATAACTTCCTTATTTCCCGCAGATACCCACAGCCAAATTGCCGTTCCCCCGAATTTGAAGAAAGCCAATTATATCATCCCCATCTTGGTGACGGATCCTGGAACACCTCCCCTAAGTAATAGTATGGAACTCAAAATCCAAGTGTGCTCCTGCACGAAATACAAAGTTGACTGTAGCGGTTCTCCTACTTTTCACACCAGCACAATTCTGATCTTCCTCTGGCTCTTCAGTTTATGCTGTAAGTGGTCTGATAGGTTCAAACTAATATGGTGAGGTCACCCTGAGCCAATTTAGCTCAATCTGAATGGGATGGGGGGGAAAGACTCTTGATTTCTGGAGTGGTCTCCTGGGCATGAACGGTTGCTGAGCAAAGCATGAGCCTCCTTTAGACATTGTCTGGGTTGTTGAGAACAGTGGAGTCATTGGTGCTCGCTGTGCTTGATTGTTGTCTTGCAGACATTTCACAACCCAACTAGGGAACATCATGAGTGCTAGAAGGGAGTTGTGTTTGCAGCGAGGAGGAGGAGGAGGATTGTGGAGTCCTTAGTGCTCTCTGAACTTGATGACCCAACTAGGGGACATCATCAGTTCTAGAAAGGAGTGGGATTTTCAGGGAGGAGGAGGAGGAGGAGGAGGAGGAGGAGGAGGAGGATTGTGGGGTGCTTGGTGCTCTCTGAAGTTGGTTGTTTTCTTGCAGACATTTCATGACCCAACTAGGGAACATCATCAGTGCTAGAAGGCAGTAGGGTTTGCTCTCTGTGGAGTGCTCACCACCAAGTGCTTGAGTTTTAGATTTTAAGTGCAACCATGTCTTATTCCTGATAAAGATCTCATAAGGCTATTAAATGGAAAACCCTCAGGACAGCTACTCCACCTTCTTGTGCATATGTGAAAAAATGTACAACTGGGAATGTTATCAGAGATAATATTTAATCTTTTTAGATTAACATTATAAAAATGTTATCCAAGTCACATTTTTACTTGGTCCTCTTGAAGCAGAGTAATTCATCAGTGCCTCACTTGGAACTTCTGATGCCTTGCAGTTCCTCTGAAGTTTTCTTCCCTCTTAAAAGAAGCTTCTGGGGTTTGTTTGTGTGAACTTTATTCTCAGACGGTCTTTTCCATATTTTGGGGGGATGAGGGCAGGGGTGGCCAGCTTCCTTGTTTTCTATTATCCAATGTCCCGTCACTCTGAAATTTTTCTGGGTGTCAGTCAGTCAGTTGGTTTATCATCTGTCTGTCTGCCTGTCCAGCCATGCATCCAGCCTATTATCCATCTGTCTGTCCATCTATCCATCTGGTCCATCTGTCCAGGAATTCTTGGACTTTATTTTCTTCTGCAAAAGAAATGTTGAACGCAGACTGCCTTTTATCAAACTGAATAAAGAAGGAGTGGTAGAGAAGGAGAAGGAGAAGGAGAGGAAGGAGAAGAAACTGTAAAGAAAGTGAAGGAGTTGAGGAGGAGAAAAGGAGAAAGGAGCAGAGGAGGAGGAGGAGGAGGAGGAGGAGGAGGAGGAGGAGGAGACCATTCTGCTAGCATTCATCTAATGGGGCCCAGTAGCCCAAAGGTCTGTCAGTGCTGAGTCCACTGGAAAAGCAGAAGCAATAACTGCTAAAGATAGCTGTAATGTCTGCAGATTTTCTACAGATATAATTAGTGAGTTCCAGAAGAAAGCGTTCAGAGATTCAAGCCAGAGAACTAGCTAAGCAATTTAGTTTTGGATTTTTGCTACCCTGCCAAAATTTGCCAACTTTACATCTGGAGTTTCTTTATTCCAAAGGCTGAAGTTTCTTTTTACAACCACCATTAACTTCACAGCAATATCTTTTGCAGACCAAATATTCCTAGGAATAATCAAAGATTATGATGCCATTAAAAAGAGGGGGGAACCCTACTACAAGACCTTTCATGTGTATTGAACAGATGAGCTGTCCCCGTCGCTTTGGGCAAAGTTATAGGCTTAATTTTTTGCTGTACCAACAATTTAGTGAAATCCTTTTTAGTTATCTGCCTCGCCTCTTGGTGATTAGGTTTCATAAGTGCACTTCTGTGTGGGAGGTAAAGTAAAAGGCGGGAGGGGGTATTTTTGCTTGTTCTCACTTCTAAATTTGCTTGTGCACATTTACAATCTGAGGATACAGCCATGAGCAACCACTTTGGTAAGACAAAACGTATTATCATTTAAATGAGGCAATTATCTTCTAAGATTGGAACATGTGCCTCTTCAGTAAGTCACTGAAATGATTTGTGGTTAGATCTTCCTTCCTTCCTTCCTTCCTTCCTTCCTTCCTTCCTTCCTTCCTTCCTTCCTTCCTTCCTTTCTTTCTTTCTTTCTTTCTTTCTCTTTTTCTTTCTTTCTTTCTTTTTCCTTCCTTCTCTTTCTTTCTTTCTTTCTTTCTTTCTTTCTTTCTTTCTTTCTTTCTTTCTTTCTTTCTTTCTTTCTTTCTCTCTCTCTCTCTCTCTCTCTTTCTCTCTCTCTCTCTCTCTCTCTCTCTCTCTCTCTCTCTCTCATTCATTTTCCTTCTGGCTTTTTCGTTCTTTCTTTGTTTCTTTCTCTTTCCTTCCTCTTTCTTTCTTTCTTTCTTTCTTTCTTTTCACTTTCTTTTCTTTCTCTTTCTTTTTTGTTTCTTTCTTTCTTTATCAACCCCTAACCCTATTAAGTTTCTTTATCAATAAATCACAAGCATATTAAATGGATCAGAAGTCACCTATTTGGGAATATGGAGCCATTTCCTCAAGAGCTGTCTGGAATCTTTGTACCTTTGTCCCAAAGGGTTATCATTATATTTCTTTTCTTTGTTTCCCCCCCCCCCCAGTCTGAGAGCTGGCCTTGAGAGCTGCAGCCAACCACTAAATGAGAAGTATCTGCTGTGCTGCTGGCCTTCACTATGGCATCTCTAACATATTAAACAGATATACTACTTTTCCAGTTGATTCATCTTTCCAGTCTTATTTTCTTGGAGAATGATTCTCATGACCAAGTTCACTTGGCCATGAATTTGGTCTCTGGTTTGGCTAACCCAACTGAAGTTAGTGGGCTGCTTTAGTTGATCTTTGTTGGAGTTCCCAAGATAGGCCCAACACCCCTCCCTTGCATTTATGCCTGCATTTATGTCTCAAACCACAATGGACTCTGTGTTGTTGTATAGCACAGGGTAGATGTAGAGCTACTGCACATGAATGACTGAGAAGTATTTTTGTGGGGAGTCCTTGGTGTTCTCTGAGCTTGGTTGTTTTCTTGCAGATGTTTCATTATCCAATGTCTGCAAGCAAACATCGAAGCTCAGAGAGCACCAAGGACCCACAGTTCAACTCTGAGCTATAAATATTTTCTTCTACTAGTTGTAGTTGTGTCTACAACTAGACACAAAGACAGTTTTCCTCCATGCCATCACTCTGCTAAACAATTAATTCCCACAATCTTGTCTTATGCCCTAGGACATCAAACCATGTAGTAGGTCTGTATTACTATTATCCTTCTCATTTTTCCTGTTACCTATTCCTTTAGCATCTTATGATGACCCCTTTGTTGGTTGTGTCTTATGATTTATGTTGATTGCTTTTATTTAGCATCCTATAACTATCACTGAGTGTTGTATCTTATGATTTGTGGTGATTATATTTTATGATTATGATCATGATTTATCACTTGTTGCTTGTATGTACACTAAGAGCTTATGCACTGGAGACAAATTCCTTGTGTGTCCAATCACACTTGGCCAATAAAGAATTCTATTCTATTCTATTCTATTCTATTCTATTCTATTCTATTCTATTCTATTCTATTCTATTCTATTCTATTCTATTCATCTAGTCTAGTCTAGTCTAGTCTACTCTAGTCTGCATTCTATTCTATTCTATTCTATTCTATTCATCTAGTCTAATCTGCATTCTATTCTATTCTATTCTATTCTATTCTATTCATCTAGTCTAGTCTATTCTAGTCTGCTATTCTATATTCTAGTCTATTCTAGTCTAGTCTGCAATCTATTTTCATCGTCTAATCTATTCTATTCTAGTCTATTATGTAAATAGTTGTCTAGCTACCCCAACATTAATCTGATGCCCTAAAATGGTTCTGTGTGCATTTAAAGTGTGATTAGTTCATCTAAAATGAAGTTTGGGTGTGTAGATGGTGCACACAAGGTAAACAAGTGTTTGTGTAAGGATTCTAGTCCATGTTGAGAATTAGAATCCTTAAAATCAATAGAGAAAAGCAAGGAGTTATGATTGCTTTATTGTGTCCCCTAAACAGATAAACACATATGTTCTAGAACATGTATTTCCATGGATTTATATGTATATACAGTATGTATGTATTCCATACAGAAAATAGAAATGTAGCAAAAAATATATGAAGAAGATAAGTGTTTCTATGAGGCACTTGATCATATAGAAATATTACCACTATTTTGTAATCCTTTTTTATCAACTGAGCCTAGCTGAGGAAAGCTGTACTTGAAAAGATCATACTTCGGTACTTTCTGTAGCATACATTTAAGATAAAATGTTTAATGTTCCCTAATTTCACAGAACTAAATTACAGTTTGTGACAGACTGTATTTCTTTTCTCAGTAGCTTATTATGACAGACTTATGACTGCACAGCCATTTTCTGAAATCTTTTAAAACAGTCTTTGGCTAAAACCAGACAATAATTTACAGGCAATAAATTATGTGACAAATTTTGGCTGTTTCTTTGCTGGCAAGGAAGGCAAAGAAAAATCACAAGTCTGTCCTCTCAACTTTTCCTTTATTTTATTTTTTTTTAAATCTAACCCAGTTTATCTCTTTGTCTTCCCAAGTGAAGCTATCTTGGTTAGTTTTCAATTTGGTGGAAAGCTGGATCATGTTTCTTCCTAGCTCTGTTAGCATTGGCAACTTTTAGTTTTTTAGAGATGCTTGGCTATGTAATAATAATAATAATAATAATAACAACAACAACAACAATAACAACAACAACTGGAGCACCACTTGAATACCATTTCAAATTCGTCATTAGTCAATTGCAAAAGGCGGCCTTACTAGGAACCGCTTCCATCCTGCGACGATATCTGTAATGACATCAAATATCCACATCTGCCTATCCCAGGTCTTTGGTAAGGACTCGATAGGTAGACAAAATGCCAAATCCAGTCTGAACATCTGGCTGACTGTGCGATGATTAATAATAATAATAATAATAATAATAATAATAATAATAATAATAATAATAATAATAATAATAATAATAATAATAATAATAATACAATTTGAAGGGACCTTGGAGGTCATCGAGTCCAACCCCCTGCTCAGGCAGGAAACCCTATACCATTTCAGACAAATGGCTGTCCAGTCTCTTCTTAAAGACTTCCAGTGTTGGAGCATTCACCGCTTCTGGAGGCAGGTTGTTCCACTGGTTAATTGTTCTCACTGTCAGGAAGTTTCTCCTTAGTTCTAGGTTGCTTCTCTCCTTGATCAGTTTCCATCCATTGCTTCTTGTCCTGCCTTCAGGCGCTTTCCATCACAGCATGATGGAAACATGTTGTAAGACTTCAAGGAAGGGTGCAGAAATATCAGCCTGTGGGTCTTTCTTGGTGGTAGGATGGCAAGAAAGTAGCAGGAAATGCAGAATTGTCTGTCAGCCCTCTCTTCTCCCCATAATTGTTTATTTTAAATCTTCCCCCTTAAACCTCACTATTGGTCCTTTGGGGGGGGGAAGCATGTTGAATGGTACAAAAATTTTGGAGTAAAAAAAATTGGTTGTTAACTTGCATTTGCAATCTATCTAATTCCTCAGTGAATGAGAACATCTATTTGATTTGACTCATAGCCCATCAGGGTTATCAAACAAGTACTTTTTCTACTTTCTGATCAGTTCTGTCCGATTATCAGGAACTGTCTAGACAAATCTCTGCAATTTCCCTGGCAAAGTTTTAGAGAAGTGGTTTACCATAACCTTCTTCTTAGGGGTGAGTGAGAGCGACTGGCCCAAGGTCAACCAGCTGGCCTTGTGCCTAAGATGGCACTAGAACTCACAATCTCCCCGTTTCTAACCTGGTACCTTAACCACTACATCAAACTGGTTCTCTATCTAAGCACTACATTCCATATGAACCAAACAAGTCTGGAAGTGAAACACACAGATTATGTAAAGCAAAGAGAATCCAAGAATAGAATTTAAATCCTTTGCTCTTTGTTTCCTGGCCTTTTTCTTTTTTCTTTTATTTAAATGGCCAATGTAATTATGGGTGTTTTCTTCTCTAGCCTTAAATCTTTATGATGAATTGCTCTGGCGCATGGGTAATTGAATGTAAATTGCTTATAGTCATAAGTGAGCCACCAAATAAATGTGCCTAAAGATTAGAGGAGGGATTAAAATAAGTACGGTCTTTAAATGTGCCATATGCTTCCTAATAAATGATGTTATTGCTCATCACGCAGGTCTGTAAGAACTCCTGACATTTAAAGCTGGTCTATCGTTTCGCCACGGTGACAAGCAAAGAGCATACTATCCCCAACAGAAGTTCACCTCTGACTTTTTCGACTCCTTCTTCTCCAAAGCCTTGGTTGCTTCACAACTTTAGCTCGGCATCCTCCCAGCGACTGGATTGTATATGACAAACGTGCGGCAGCTTTCGCTCCGGATTCCTTCCTCAAGAGCATTGGACACGATAACCTCTTGTTGAAAAAGAGAGCAAAAAAAAAAAAAAAACCCAACAAAAAACGAAACCACACAAAATAGACAGAATCAAAACTTGGTCTTCTGGGAGCCCAATTATGCGATGACTGTCTCCCCCGCCTCTCTGTCAACTTGTTGCTATTGAACTGTTTTAAAACAATTGTCTGTGGGTTAGTATTTGTATATGTATGAGTGTATGTATATGTATATATATATATTTATAGAGAGAGAAGAGATATACCGATAGGATTAGCTTTTGTATGGCTTTCACATTAGGCTTGGGGGGTCAATGGGGCAGAGGAACATGGAAGCCAGGTGATTGGTGACCACCAGTAGCTCCGCTCAGCATTGATGCTACGTGTGAAATAGAGTAATCCAGGGTTTCTCCACCAGGGTAACTTTAAGAGTTGTGGATTTTAGCTCCCAGAATTCCCCAACCAGCACAGCTCTTAAAGTTACCACGGTTGAGAAACAGTGGAGTAAGCCAAAGGAGAGGGCATCTGGCAAGAGGATTGTATGAAGCAACTGATTCAACAGCATCCCTTAAAAAAAATGAGAGAGAGAGAGAGAAAATCTCCCTATGTTTTATAGTATAGGATACCATCATTTCCTTTGACTTTCCATTTCATTCCCCAAGGATTGGAGTCAAATGTCTAGCCCAGCTTGATATGCTCAGCCAGTATGAGGGAAGATCTTCCATTGGGTGGCATGCTGTGAAGATGAACTTTTTCACAAGAGAATAAAATTTTTAGAAATCCTGCTCTGCTCACCCTTTAGAGATTTCTTTTTCTTCTTCCTCTTCCTCCTCCCTAAATTAAACTTTCTTTGCCTTCTCCTTGTCTTCCTCCTCCTCCTCCTCCTCCTCCTCCTCCTCCTCCTCTCTAGATAAAAATTTTCCCTTCTCCCTTCTCTTTCTCCTCCTCAGATTAAACGTTCTTCTCTCCTCTTTCTCTTCCTCCTCATCCTCAGATTAAACCTTCTTCTCCTTCTCTTCCTCCTGCTTCTCCTCCTTTTCCTCCTTCTCTTCCTCTTCTCTCTCCTTCTCCCTCCTCCTCCTACTCAGAGCGGCAGACATTTGGTACAAAGGGTTTTATTATCTTATACTGATGGTTTCACTGGCTAGAACTGTTTTGTGTTAACTGCTGGGGCAATCTGCCAGCTTTTTCTCCTATGAGGATGGTTGGGAACGGACTTGAGGGAGGCCTTAAGCTACTTAAATGTTGACACTTACTGAGAAGCCAAGCTTCCTTGGAAAAACATGGGCACAAATAATAAAAATACCACACCATCCTTTCTTGACATTTCACCATCGCATTTTAGAAGTGAAGTTCAACTGGGTTACAACAGTAACTGCTAAATTACTTTGAAAGTCTATGCCTTAAGATATTCAAAGGAATGGCCTTACCCTGAAACCACAAAATAATAGAATTTTTGAGTCACCTTAGATCAGGTTGGGTGCTGGGAGAGAAGGGTTGGGGTAAGCAACTATTCCTATGTTGGCAGAGCAAAATCCCTCCGTGGGAGAGGGGTGGGATTGCTTGGCAAGGAAAAAAGTTCAACTTTTGCCTTCTCATTGAAAGGCTACCTAGTGATCTGTGACTCCCTTGTATACAGGAGAATTTTGTGATATCGTAGCTCCTGCAGGTTGAAGTAAAACATTGCCATTTTCTATAGAATGGGAAAACATCATTCTCTGTTGTTGTTGTTTTTCTAAAAAGAAGATGGGAAACTGCTGGCCTCCAACTGTTGCTGGACTCCAACAGTTTCAAGTCCGTCATAGGTGTCTGGAGGGGTGATCTAAATGGGGCCACAACGGTATCATCAAAACTCTGCCCATGTTTTGATGTGCCTCACGCAATTAAACAATGGGTGGAGACTTGATAGCACCATCACAACTCCCGTCTTGACATCTTGCAGGGTCTCCTAAACTCCAGCCAATGTGGTCAACCATTAGCCACAATCTGACCGCATGGTTTTCCTTTCCTTGTGTTGTGTTGAGATAGACTCAAAGCCCCCAGTGAAAGAAAGCTAGCTTTTTTTCTTGCATAAAATAATTAGTTTTGGTAGGAGAAGCTCAAGAACTCATGATTATCTGATCCCAGCAACTCAGATATGTGTCCACCACGAATTTGGAGGCAATTTTCATTGAGTTGTCTTTCCATTTTCTCTTCCCATTTTTTTTTAAATCTACTACTAATCACCAACCAGTTCTCTCTCGATGCCTAGAGAAGCTAGCTCTCACTACTCAAGCACATCTAAACTGAAAAAGTTATATAAATATATACATATAATTTGTTTTTGAGTATATTATATATACATACATATTCACAGGTACACACAAAGAGGCACACAAGCGCACACTGGGATTTATTTAAAAACTAACCAGAGCTTTTTGTTTTGTTTTCAGTATGTATGAAATAACCACACTTGTTTGCAGAAAAAAACAAAAAAACAAAAACAAAATAGGAACAAAGGGTGTTCCTTATGTATGAAATGGAAGCCTTTTTTAAAATATATATATAATTATATATATATATTATTTGGTGAGCATGTAAGGTAATGGAAAACTTCTCTAACTGTATCATCAAAACGATCATCTTGTTAATAAATTGTAAATGATCCACTCAGCTCACAACAATTTTTTTTAACGACAAAGGAAAAATTAGCAAAGAGTAATAAGTGACAGACTGTGGCTTTTAATAGAACATGACAGTAACTAGGGGTAAGGTAAGTGTCTTAGATTCTTTTAATAAAGTTGCTTATTTAAAGTCTGAATTGCAGAAATTTCCTTTGTAATACAATGTTATAGCTCTACAGTTGGGTTGGGTTTGGACAGAGCATACATGTTATGTTGTATATCTAAGCATTTATTTCTTTATCATGCCTCTCTTTCCACAGGGCTTTTCCTGATCAACAAATCATTAAATAAATTCACCCCTATTTTTATCTTTTTCATACTGTTACACTAGATAGCAAATGCTTTGGGGTGTAAGATGCCTAATTTTAACGTCCTAGTTAAACTGTATATCTTAAACCCAACAGCTGGTGGGGAATTATTAGCATCTCAGAAATTGATGGAATGTAACCCATTGGTCGCTTAGCTGCTCAGGTCTACAGTTCTGCAAACATCTGGCTGGTTTTTGTTTCCTCGTGCTAACCTCACGAGAAGCACCATCTTCAATGGCAGTGCAGTTTATTTCTTCATCTTAGGACCTCAGTTCAAGAAGTCACCAAACTATGTCCATAAGGAACTCCATATGTGCTACAGCATACAGGCAGAATTCTGCACAATGAGTTGTGTCTGCACAAAGTGACTTGTGCAGTCTGTCAAACAAGCCTATTAATTTCTCCATCCACACACTAAGGAGAAATCACAACCTCAGAAGAAAATATTGCACATAGCCCACATCTCTACAGAATACCCCAACTGCTGAACCATCTGGGAGACTTGGAAAAACATTAGGGATCATCCTTTTGAATCTTTTTATAGAGAAACTAACAGATGGTTTTCCTTGCTCTCTTTGCTATAATCCAATCCAGTGAAGGACACCTATATTACTCAATGTGAGTCATCTCAAATCTATACATTACTACACTTGATCTTAGTCAAAAGGCCAAGAAGCGATCTCAAATCATCTACATAGTTTAAATCCAGACTGGAGTGGAATAAATTATTGATCCTTCAGCCTCATATATTTAGTCATGGGGGGAAGGTCACTTATACGTCATCCACCATTGTCAAAGTCAGAGTTGAAGACCTTAAGAGTAGGAATTACAGCTTGCAGAAAAAACACATATTCAAACTCATTTTTCCCCACCAGATAACAAAACATTCATAGATTCTTGCAATGGGAGAAAAATGAACCAAAAGCATCACCATTGTTTTTATTTATACCGCAACATTGGTCAAATCTGATTTTTTTTAAATAGCACCTTCTCCCCTTTAAATTAGCTCTTTGAATGTTCTTCTATTTCATTCACCAGCAATCAAGATATGTTTGCAAAATGCCTGCATTTAGAGAAAAGCACAAAAATTAATCATTTTCACTTTTAAGCAGATAATAGGAAAAGCTAATAAATCATTTTATCTCTAAAGCAAAGGAGTTTTTTTTAAAAAAAAAAAAAGACACAAACTCAATATAATTACTATTAAGTTAATCAGAAAAAATGATGCTGGAGAAAATTTATCATTTGCTGCAACTGTCATCAGCAGAAGAAAAAAAATTGGATTTTGGGCGATGTATGCTTTATTTCTGTGCCTTTCATCTTGTTCAGCCTTTAACAAGTCAACCCAAAACAATGTCATCTGAACTTTCCCATTATATCCAACAAGATTCTCGGGACTCTCAAAACCATATTTAGTTAAAAGATCTATTAAACTCTCCTTTGAACATTCAAATTAATCAGGGACAATTAGAAGGACTGGATATTTAAAAAAAAGAATTATAACAATGTTGAATGAGAGTGATGGGGGAGAGTGAATGACTTGTTCTATGTAGGTCATTCTTTTATTTTATTTTATTTTAGATTATTTCTGTCAGAAATAGCTTGAGAAGGGAAACCGTATGCTCACAACCCAGAGGTTTAACAAGAATAGAGTTACCAAGTCTTAAGCATTGAATTGCAGAATTGGAAGAGATCACACGGGTCATCTAATCTGGAGGTGTCCAATCTTGGCAACTTTAAAGACCTGTTGGACCTCAACTCTCAGTATGGCTGTCTGGGGAATTCTGAGAGTTGAAGTCCATCCCTGATATACTCCAATCTTAAACTCTCCTTTGGAGATATCCATTCCTCATAAAAGTGTGTAGAAATGGAGAATCCACCACTTCCAACAACTATGGTGCCTGGTTGGATGTAGCTTTTAGCTGTTAATTTATAACAATTTATACTCCTTTATTGCTGGTCCTAGTTTCTGTGGAAGACTAAATCTGCTCAGATCCATAGATTTGCTACCTGAACTCAAAGACAAGGCTATCATGTAACTCCTTAGGGATCTGGACTGCATGTCTGATAC